GAGTCGGCTTGGCTCGGAGCTGGCTAATCCTCTTATATGGTGCCAACTCGGCTTGGCTAGGAGATGGCTAAAAGGCTCTATTTCAGCCTCCACTACCCAACAGGTCATGGATGCCAAGTCAGCCACGATCCAGCATAGTGTGGCCATGTCAGCCATGACCTAACAGATTGTGGGTACCACGTAAGCCACGATCCTACGTGTAATAGCCACGTCAGCCACGAACCCACGGGTCATGGCCATTTTAGCCATGAAGCTACATGTCGTGGCCACGTCAACGAAGACCTGATGATGGTGGGCCACGTCAGTTAAGAATCGGCACGTCGATGCCACATCATCAAGGGCAGGTCGGGCAACCCCCAGCTAAGCCAAGCAGCCCACCGAGCTCAAAATGAGCTGACAGCTCATCCGAGCTGGGCAAAGCCCGGGCAGCTGGGCGACACCGAAAAAACTGTCCTCCCATCCCATTTTTTGCTCAATTTTGGCCCCATAGGGGGCTAATTAGACATTTTTTAGTCCCTAGAACCAATGTTTCAACTCAATTTTGACTTTTTTAGAGCTATTTAGGACCTATACTCCAAAGTTTGAATTATTTTAAGTTTCTAAATCGCACAAAAAATTTACAAAAGACTGACATATATTTTCAAACTTTTGGAGTTTTGACGTCTAAAAATAGGGGGTAATTGATACATTCTCATAAAATATATCTTGATCAGGCACGAATCTTGAGAAAAAATCAAGTTGGAAACTTCTAAAATTAAATTTGGGATCATCTAAACTCTGATTTTAGCAAACTTATAGTTGAACTGAACGTCTCAAGAATACGAACCCAACGACACCAAATTCGACTCAATCCAAGCCTAAATGGGTCCAAATCAAGGATCCAAAGCACTATTGGGAGATTCAAACCATAATTTAGATTACCAAATAGTTTCCAAACACGATATGCTTCTAGTCAAATCGAGCAGCTTGACGAGATGAATCCAACAAGCCAAAGATCACAGAATTCCAACATCATTAAGACCTTTAAATGGCCACCACCTACACCCGAGTTCCGCTAGACCACCACCTACACCCGGAGTTTCACTAGACCACCACCTAACTCCTAGAGTTCCGTCGGACCACCAACTAATGTCCGGAGTTTCGTCAGACCACCACTTGACACCCAAAGTTCCGTCAAACTATTTACTGAGGCTCGGAGTTTCATCAGACCACCACCTGACACCTGGAGTTTCGTCAGACCACCACTTGATGCCTGGAGTTTCGCCGGACTACCACCTGACGCCCGAAGTTCTATCGGACCACCACCTGATGCCCAAAGTACCGCTGGACCACCAATTGATGCCCAAAGTTTTGCCAGACCGCCACCTGATGCCCAGAGTTTGGTTGGACCACCATCGAACTACCAATTGTCGCCCGAATTTATTAGTAATACAAAACTTATGCCAGACTATCAAGTGACGCTAGACTTTCATTCCTGTTTGTCACTAAATTTCAACCATACAGTTGGCATTTGTAATCTGATCGCCTTAGAGATAAGTCAGCCTACTATAATCTACCCAAATACTAGTCAAATCATTTAAGACTAGGTCAGGCCCCATAGTTTTTCCCTTTTTCAGGATTTTTTTCACATAAAAAATCTTGTGTTATCTATGTGTGAGCTGGGTATTAGTACAATGCTAAGATGTAATATTATAACTCTATCGCCACATATATTTTAGACACACACACACACACACACACACATATATATATATATATATATATATATATATATATATATATATATACATGTATATATGCACACATATTCTAACATAACAATAGTTGAATCAATTTATTTCAACTTGTACCCTCGGATAACAATTCAGTGAAATCTCATAGTTTCTCCCTATAAGCTCACTCACTCTCTCAAGCACGCTATAATTCTCTCTTGTTTTTATTTAATACTTAATTGTTAATACAATTTTGATCTCACTTATGAATAAATTTGGATATAACACACGTGATCAATTTTAAGTAAACTAGAGAAATAAACCAAGTAATGTTAAATGTGGAGCTTGATAATTTGAATAAGATGAGTTTTACATATCGCTATTTGTCATAGCTTGATAATACGAATAAGATGAGTTCTACATATTGGTAATTGCCATGTGGTAGAACAAAGCATTGTTTTTCTTCTTAGAGCTATTTGGTTACAATCATTAGGAGCATCAAGTTAAAGAAATGCATGTTATTTGATTTGTTTGGTATTTAGTTTAAAGCAAATCAAATATAAAGCATTTGTGTAGGGGATAGCAAATGCCCTAGATTGCCTATTTTTGACAAATTTGGAATTTGCCCCATTTGCTCAAATCAAGGAGCAAATGTAGGAAAACCCATAGCTTACGACTTCATCTACCTTGCTCGTTGTCATTGCTTCAAATTATTGCCTATGTCTTGCTCACCTTTTTTTTTTTTTTTTTGGTAAATTTGGGGCAAAGCCCTTCTATTGAAGTAAACAAATTACAAATAACTTGTGAAAATAAAAACTATAATCTAAAGATTCTCAACAACAAAAAGAGAATCTTAGATTCAAAAAAGAATGAAGTAAAAGCAACCCACCAATAGGAAAAAAACAAAAAGCTTATCCGAAGCAACAAGGACTCAGGATACTCAGTGCAAATGTAGTCGAAATCATTGAAGGGTCGGCACATGAGTAAAGCCCCTGGTTGCCAGGGACGACAGTCCAAGGGGCAGCAGTTAAAAATAAAACAGCATTCATCATTGTCCATACAAAAAACGGTCGAGAGAGCAGCCTCAAACATCCTTCCAGTTGGCTGTTTTCCTTTGCACTGCATGCATAATTTTTGCTTTAACAATCTCAACGCAGTCAAAAATATCCCCAAAGATCCTATCATTTCTTGCCCACCAGATGTAGTAAATGACAGCACATCCAGTGAATAAGAAAAAATTCACTCGGTTTTTGCTAAAACCTTGCTCTAATATACTGTCAAGGGCCTGGAACAGATTTGGCTTCATCAAACGATTGCCCAACCAAGGTAAGAAGCTCTTAATGATATAAAAAGTAAAATTGCATTCAAAATATAAGTGCCCAATACTTTCATTCTCAGTAAGACAAAAGCAGCAATTTTGCCCAACAGAGATGCCACGAGAAGCTAAAAGATCCGCAGTTTTTAAACCTTTATTGAATGCCATCCAGGCTAAAGCAGAAAATCTCAATGAAGCTTTTTTATGTCAAATAAGATTATTCCATTGAACCTTAGGCATAAGCTCAAAAAGTTGGGTCTTAAAATTTTTAGTTTTTGGGTTAGAATGCCCCAGCCAGGAATGAAAGCCACCATCAGTAAGTATTTTAACTTGCAAAATCTTAGACACAATATCACTGTCTATGCATTGGGGCAGAACCCAGTTCTCCCCATCATTGAATTTTTCCACAGTCCAGTTAGATAAATAGGAAAGTCTGGCAATCTTATGAGCATCTTGAAGAATAGCAGCAATAGAGGTGCCATTAACCCAGGGTCCCAAAGGAAAGAAAGCATACTATTGGGATAGACCGAGAGAGTGAGACATTGGGTGATGCTGGGAGCTTTAGAAGCTAAATAATTCCAATATAAAGAGCTCTTACAAGAAATGGGTTTCCACAAAGAGCGGTATTTAGATCTCCACCAAGAGAAAAGTAGGTTATCCGAGTGGAGAAATCTCAAAATTATAGCACACCCAAAAGCATGATACAGTGTGTCAATAGAGTCAATACCCAACCCACCATTCTCCTTTGGAATACAAGTTTTATGCCAAGAAATAACATGAAGTTTCCTCAGGTTTGTATTCCCAAAGTATAAAAATCTAGAGCATATCCGATTGATAACTTTGCAACACCCTTTAGGTAAAATGGCTCCACGAATCCAGTAAGCAAGGGTGTTGCAAATGGTAAACTTAATAAACTGTATTCTACCAGCAAATGAGAGAGTTTTAGCAGTCCAGCCTTCCAGTTTTTTTGAAATTCTCTGAATGAGAAGTTGAAAATCCCAGTTTCTGAGTTTTTTATGGTATATGGGCAACCCGAGATAAGTGATAGGAGAGTTAGTTTGTGTGATATTAAGAGCTTCACAGAATGCATTAGCCTCAGGGGTATCTTTGGAGAATATAACAGTGCTTTTGTGGGGGTTGATAAGCAAGCCAGAGGAGGACCCAAAATCATCAAGTATATTTTTAAGAGTGAGAGCATTACCAATCTGAGCTTTCCCAAACAAAAGAAGGTCATCCGCATACATTAAGTGTGAAACAACACAGGTACCATAAGAGATGGCTGAGAAAGTGGAGTTAGAGATGGCATTCTCAATCCTATTTGAAAGATCATCCATTACAATGCTGAAGAGATAAGGAGACAAGGGGCAGCCCTGACGGAGACCGGAAGTAGAGTTAAAAAACCCCTCCAAAGAGCCATTTATACACACAGAAAAATGAACATCAGAGGTACAAGCTTTTATCCAAGAGATAAATAAATCTGGGAATCCTTTATCAGCCATTCGTTTGTATAGAAAATCTCTAGAAACCGTATCAAAAGCTTTAGTGATATCAAGCTTTGCACAGAAGTACTTGTCTTTGCTGTTTTGATTGAAAATCCCAAGAAGTTCAGATGCTAAGATGATGTTGTCCGAGCTAATTCTTTGATGGATGAAACCACTTTGACTAGGATGAATGATGAAAGGCATAACAGTTTTCATCCTATTGGCAATAAGCTTCGCAATAATTTTGTAAATAACATTACAGAGAGAAATGGGTCTAAAATCTTTAATATGATTGGCATGAGGAAGTTTAGGGATGAGTGCAATGGCAGTAGCTTTAATATGTTTAGGCATATGACAAGAAATAAAGAAATAGTTGACAGCCTTATAAATATGAAGTTTTATAGTTTCCCATGTTACTCTGTAGAATTCGAAGGTAAACCCGTCAGGACATGAAGCAGAGTTTTTCTTTCCAGAGAAAATAATGCATTTGATTTATTCTAATGTAACGGGCGCAGTAAGAGAAGAAATAAGATGAACAGGAATCACATTACCAACCGGGCTGCTCGAAAAATGAGCAGAGGAGTTCTCAGTGTTGAAAAGATTGGAGAAATGTTTGATAAAAGCTTGAGAAATGCCATTATGGGTGTTGAAGCAACCCAAATCAGTATTGATTTCTTTGATGCGACTATAGTTCCTGACAGCATTGATCTTTGAATAGAGAAATTTTAAATCATCCTCACCGTGAGTAAGCCACCTAATCTTGGCTCGTTGGGCAATCCAGCTAGACAATGTGGAGTGATAGTAATTGAGTTTGATGTTGACATTTTTCAGATTTATATTGAGGAGGTCATCAAGAGGATTTTCTTGGATTTGGCTGATAACAAGATTTTGAACCTCAGACAAAGTGTCAATTTCCTTTTGAATGTTGTTTGAGTTAGCCCAAGTCTTGTGTTTGATTTTGTTCTTGAGGGTTTTGAGTTTGTAGCTAAATGAGCTAAGGGCGCTGCTGTCATTGGGCTGAGAGAAAGTGTCCAGTAAACAATGCCAGAAATCAGGAAAGTTGGTGCAGTAATTCTTGAACATGAATCTGTGACCCAACTGAGCCTCACCCGAATCCATAAGAAGAATTGGGGAATGATCCGAGCAACTAGGGTCCCCCACTTTGTAAAAGGGGTTAGGGAAGGAATTAAGCCAACAGTTATTAACCAACACACGGTCAAGTTTGATGTGTATAGGGTTATTGTGCTGTTGGTTAAACCAAGTGTAGAAGTGACCTACAGAAGAAAGGTCATGCAGTCCAGCATTAAAAATCAAATTATTAAAGTCACCAAGACAGGTGCTAGAGAGAGGAATTCCTCCAGCTTTCTCGTTGGGCATCCGACAGCAGTTGAAATCACCTACGACCGCCCAAGGACTGTCAATATCATTAGCAATGTTGAGTAAATCATTCTAGAGAGTTTGCCTTTCAGAAATAGAATTGCTAGCATAAACCGCAGTTATGGCAATGGTGGAAGTAGCATTCAGTTTAATGGTTCCGTGAATCAGTTGGCTGGTAGAGTGAATTGGATTAAAATTCACACAGGCCTCATTCCACTTAACCCAAATGCGTCCAGGTTTAGAGTGAAGGAAATTATCACAAGAGCGTTCCAAAGGGAAGATTTGGTGTTGTTTTTGAAACCAGGGATTGGAGAGGTTGGAGGAGGAAATTTTAGCTTCTAAGATAAAAAGCATATCAATGTTGTGGGCTTTCACCAAATTTCTACAACACAAAACTTTTTCATGGCTATTAAACCCACGAACGTTCCATGCTGCAAGCTTGGGAGGTTTTACTGGCATTTGGGGGTGGAGGGTTTTTTGTCATTTTTGCCATGGGTTGATTTTTGGCTTTGGTGTTGTTGTGTATTGGACTGGGTATTTTGTGATTTGCTAGAGTTTGTGCTAGAGGAAGGTTGTTCTATGGAAAGCGGGATGGTTGGCTGGTGATTTCTTGGGGAGGTTTGCGGTGGACTGTTATGATTTTGGTTTGTAATGGGTGTGGTGGAGCTTGGTATTTGGGCGTGTTTTGGGTTTGTAGACAGTGTAGTGGAGCTATGTATTTGGGAGGTCGAAGGAGGGGGTTCATCTGAGGAGCCTTCTGCCAGATCATTGAATTTGTTTTGGGTCTGGATAGTGGGTTGTTTTTGCACATCTTTGGCCGGGCTTGTCTCGAGTAGGGAGATCAGTTCCCCAGAAGGAGAATTGAGGTTAGGAATCATAGGGTTTTGATTTGGAGTGGGGTTTTGAGTCAGCATTTCAGCTTGTGTAGGATGCTGAGGGTCCAGTTTATTGGCCAGAACAGGTTTGGGAATAAGGAGGCGAGGCGGAGGGGTAAGCCTAGGCCTGCGACTGGTGCTTCTACCCCTTGGTTTAGGGGCAGTAGGCGGTCGAATGATGGGATCTTTGGGGCAGAGGGTAGGTGGGTGCATGATAGATCCACATTGGGAGCAATGTTCGGGTTTCCAATCGTATTGCACACGCAATGGAAAAGATTTTCCATCTACAGAGTAGTAGATTTCATCAGAAAGAGGAGATGAACTGGTAACTTGCACACATATTCGGGCAAACGTCAATCTGGTTTTAAAGGCGGTATGAGCGTCAACAGCAAGGGGGATACCTACACAACTTGCAAGTTTAGAGATACCTTCCGGAGTCCAGAGCGAGAGAGGAAGGTTCGGGATTTTGATCCATAGCGGAATGGACGGGAATTCCTCTCGCTTCGGGATGAAGTCCGGAGTCCACTTAGGGTTTGAAGAATAAATGGTTTTCCAAAGAAAAACCAGGGACCTCCAGTCCATGCATGCTCAAAGTCCTCTAAAACAGAGAACTTCAAAAGGAAGAAGCCATCATCCATCGTGAGAAGAGAGAAGACTCCTTTGGGGTTTCAGGCTTTTTTAATCGTCGAGAGTAAGGTCTCATAGTAAGGACGCTTACCGATAGAGTATCCAACTAGTGAAAGAGACCATTCTGTAGCTCCAGCCACGAACTGTTCTGAAGTGAAGCTCGCAGTGAGGTTGTGTGCCGGGACAAATGAAAGCGAATGGGAAAAGGTCGTGGAGACCTGCGGGGTGGAGGCTAGAAGATTTTTCCAGTCCAGGGGTGAAGTAGACGGAGCAAGGGCGGAGGAGGTGGAAGGGAGTGGCGGGAAGAGCAAAACTAGGGCGACGCAGAAAACCCTAGCAGATCAGATTTACAAAGATATTTTCTTGCTCACCTATTACAACCCAACAATCACTCAACCATCATCACAATCATGCGCAACTGTCATTATTGTTACCCTCTAAAACTGTCACTTATTGATATCACCTCTGATAACTGTCAGCCGCCTATCATCACATGCCGCACATTATCCTCGATCATGTCCTTCCTCTATCCATCTTATTTTAATGCATTTGAAATATATCATAATAAATATAAATAAATCTAATTGCTTTAATTTGCATCCAATCAACTAATAGATGTTCTTTCAAAATGCATAAATTCTAATTGTTTTGTATTTCTTAAATACATGTATTTTAAAAACATCCAAACAAACTGCCTTTTATTGAATTGATGTGTACATACCAAAATATTTTTTGGTAAAAAAATAAAGGAAAAGATGATTTCTTAAGCTTAGAAAAAAGTCAGGCTCCTCTGCATGTTTTGTGAGAGGAATTTTATGGAGGTGTTCTAAGCAAAATGGTTCACACGATTTGGATTAGGAAACCAGTGTCGGCCTCAGGAGTGTGCTGATCCGGCAACAGAATCCCGAGGAAAAGCGTAGAGGTTTCATTCACTTCCAAATCTTAACCCTTTTCACCTTAACTCGACAATGGCACTCACCGCCTTCTCTTCGCCGGTGGCTGCTCTTTCGCCGTTGAGCATGTCCTCGCTCCGCGCCGCCCTTCCAGCTGCCCCCTCTGCTCGCATCCATTTCTGCCGTTTCTCCACCCCTTCGCAGTATCCTGCGTCGCGAAGCATCAGGTCTGGTCGCAACACGCAGAAAACCCTACGCTCCTTCTCCGGCCTTGCTCCGGTGTACCCTATCTACTCCAACTTCTCCGGTGAGTGGAATTGTCCAATAAATTACAAAACGTTGTGTACTGCAGTTCCTTGAATTTGTCTTGCCACATAATCACTTGATAGGTTTATTTGGTCTTGAAGAATTAAATTGCTGAATCATTGTTCCGTTTTGGTTGTGCAAAATTCGGATTAACTTGTTCAAATTAAGATAATTCATGTAGAGTATCAAAAGATTTGAATGTGGAATCGATGGTTACAAGGAATTAGGGTATGGGCGCATTTTTCCCTTTTCAGGATTTCTTACGTAAAAAATCTTGTGTTCTCTGTGTGTGAGCTGGGTATCAGTATAATGCTAAGATGTAATATTATAACTCTATCGCCGCATATATTCTAGACACACACAGACATATATATGCACACATATTCTAACATAACAATAGTTGAATCAATTTATTTCAACTTGTACCCTCAGATAACAATTCAGTGAAATCTCATAGTTTCTCCCTATAAGCTCACTCACTCTCTCAAGCACGCTATCTTTCTTTTCTCCCTTGTTTTTACTTAATACTTAATTGTTAATACAATTTGATCTCACTGATGAATAAATTTGGATATAACACACGTGATCAATTTTAAGTAAACTAGATAAATAAACCAAGTAATGTTAAATGTGGAGCTTGATAATTTGAATAAGATGAGTTCTACATATCAGTAGTCATCATAGCTTGATAATATGAAAAAGATACGTTTTACATATTGGTAATTGCCATGTGGGAGAGCAAAGCATTGTTTTTCTTCTTAGGGGCTATTTGGTTACAATCATTAGGAGCATCAAGTAAAAGAAATGCATGTTATTTGATTTATTTGATATTTAGACTTCGTTTGAGATGGCTTTTTTATTGCTTATTAAAGCAACTTTTTAGTACAAAAATTAAATTTTTTTGCACTAGAAAGCTGCTTTAAGAAACAACAAAAAGCCGTCCCAAACAAAGCCTTCGTTTAAAGTAAATCAAATATAAAGCATTTGTGCAGGGTATTGCAAATGCCCTAGATTGCCTACTTCTGATAAATTTGGAATTTGCCCCATTTACTCAAATCAAGGAGCAAATGCAAGGGAAACCAATAGCTTATGACTTTACCTACCTTGCTCGTTGTCATTGCTTCAAATTATTGCCTATCTCTTGCTCACCTATTACAACCCAACCAACACTTAGTCATCATCACCATCATATAAAACCACAATTGTTGTTATCCTCTAGAACAGCCACCCATTGCTACTACCTCTCATAACTTTCGGCCGACTATCATCACTTGACGTACATTATCCTCGACCATGTCCTTCTCCTATCCGTCTTAATTTAATGCATTTGAAATATATCAAACTAAATATAATTAAATCTAATTGCATTTAATTTGCATCCAATCAACTAATAGATGTTCTTTCAAAATATATAAATTCTAGTTGTTTTGTATTTCTTAATTACATGTATTTTAAAAATATCCAAACAAACTGCCTTTTATTGAATTGATGTGTACATACCAAAATATTTTTTTGGTAAAAAAATAAAGGAAAAGATGATTTCTTAAGCTTAGAAAAAAGTCAGGCTCCTCTGCATGTTTTGTGAGAGGAATTTTATGGAGGTGTTCTAAGCAAAATGGTTCAGACGATTTGGATTAGGAAAGCAGCATCGGCCTCAGGAGTGTGCTGATCAGGCAAAAGAATCCCGAGGAAAAGCGTAGAGGTTTCTTTCACTTCCAAATCTTAACCCTTTTCACCTTAACTCGACAATGGCACTCACCGCCTTCTCTTCGCCGGTGGCGGCTCTTTCGCCGTTGAGCATGTCCTCACTCCGCGCCGCCCTTCCAGCTGCCCCCTCTGCTCGCATCCATTTCTGCCGTTTCTCCACCCCTTCGCAGTATCCTGCGTCGCGAAGCATCAGGTCTGGTCGCAACACGCAGAAAACCCTACGCTCCTTCTCCGGCCTTGCTCCGGTGTACCCTATCTACTCCAACTTCTCCGGTGAGTGGAATTGTCCAATAAATTACAAAACGTTGTGTACTGCAGTTCCTTGAATTTGTCTTGCCACATAATCACTTGATAGGTTAATTTGGTCTTGAAGAATTAAATTGCTGAATCATTGTTCCGTTTTGGTTGTGCAAAATTCGGATTAACTTGTTCAAATTAAGATAATTCATGTAGAGTATCAAAAGATTTGAATGTGGAATCGATGGTTACAAGGAATTAGGGTATGGGCGCATACATCAATCCCTGCATAGATGCTACATTAATGGGAGCTTCATGTAGTAGGTATGTTCTATTGTTGATACTGAGTCAGAAATTTGGTCGCATATATGTTTACCAGAGTGTTCTTTCCAAATGCTTCTAAAAGTTTCAACATTAATCTTTGAACATCATCCTGTATGATAGGCCAGATAGGATTAATCCAATAAAGTATGAATGAAAAGTGGAGCAAACCTTAAGTAGCAAAGGGTACAAACAATTTTCCCTTACAAAAAGGTTAGCTGTGAAAAGCGAAATACTTTAAATGTTTTCGTTACAAAAGAGGTTATGGCAGGTCATTTATGTGCCTTGATGGAGTTATTTTTTGGTGAGAAGGGGTGAGATAACTTCTTTCATAATGCGATCTAAGGATATTGTTAGATTTTGTTGAATCTTCATGGTGATTCTTTACTCAGAAAATAAAGACCCTAGAGCACTTTAGGCTTGATTCTTATTCACAGCCTTTCCTTAAAAATTCATGCATGGTAGCACTTTTATCCCTTCTGAAGAACTTGGATCGCTTAACTTAAATACCAGCTTTTCCTTTTGTTTATTTGAGATTATTATTAGTGATCATCATGCCACAAACAATTTAAATGTTATCATGGTTTGGGCTATAGCTCCAAACTAAGTGAATGGGCTCCCTTGAATAGATATGGTCATTTTTAGCTCAATGGTTTGTCATGTTAGTCTTGTGCTTATCATCATCAACATTATCATTATCTTTATTTCAACAATTTTTGGTCAGCTTTGTGAATCATCTTTTTATTCATTCATGTTGAGTGTTGTCTTTTGTGTTATATTTTTTATTATCAAGTTATTTTAAACAACTTATGTGCATGTTATCTTTGGCTTTTCATTTTTCTTTCTAATTCTTCATCACTAATTTTATCTACTCTATTGCATTTTCTAGCATTTATATGCTTAGATATGCCAGTTATTTCTTGATAGCTTGAGATGTCATGTCTTGCCAAGAGACTTGGCTATTGATAACTTTATGAATGATTTTTTACCACAATGCAATATCCTTTACTCCAACAACTTATTCTAGTGGTGTTTTTTTAGTTGAAAATGGAGGTTTCTGGATTGGAGGGATTAAAGCTAGTACAATACTGACACCAAAACCTACTCTACTTGATGCTACTTTCTAAAATGCTTCATAACATGTTGATCTACCTCTCCATCCTTGCTCAAATGTCAAGTTTTGGTGCATTTATCTTGGGTGTATCTTTTCTCCATCCTTATTCTAACTTCATGTTACATTTCTCATGAATTATTTTTAGTTCCTCCTTCAAGGAGAAATTGATGAGCATTTGCAATCAACCCCAATAAGAGCATTATGTTATATTTTTTTCCCCCAAGATCAAGGTTCTTCAAGGCTTCAGAATACTTTATTTCTTTATTGTTTTTCTCCATTCAATTTACCTTAACATATATGTTATGTTCCTTTGTTGCAAAATTTAACTTTAGATAACAAGAGGAGGCCTTTTCTAGGGTTTATAGTTATTTGGGGGGGGGGGGGTTGAAAGTTTGTTTCGAGTCTACAAATAAATTGGATTTTCTTTTGTTTATGCTATTAAAACCATGCTCTATGGTCTAACAAAAGTTTATATCTATGAAGATCCTTGACTATGTGTTGGAGATTTGAAATTTATGTGAACAATGTTTCCTTATTTCATAGTTTTAATTATATTTTATTTATTTAAAATATTTTTGTGATGCTGTGCCTTTGAGAATAGATGTATTCTCTTTATTATGCTTCTTCAAGTCCGGTTTTACTCTCATTTGGTTTAATTTCAAAACGCTTTTGTTTCTTATGCTACTAGGATTGTAGTCCTATGGATAAATTGAAATTGGTCTTGTCTGCGATGTAGCTATTTGGTTATCATTTTGAGGTGGAAAGCTTTGAGTATGTTATTTGGCTTTATGTGGTTACTATATTCATATGATCTTGTTGCAGGTGTTCCTCCTTGGTGTCGTGCATATTCTATACCTTATTTGAGGAAATCTCATGTATTTACTAAACCATTTAACCAATGCCAATGAAATTTATTCTTTTTTGGCAACGCTTGGGTATATTTTTTGGAAATTCTATTGAGTAGTATAGTTGTGGTTTTTTATGTGATTTAGGACACATTTAAAGCAATTTAACCTTCACTCTGTTCTATGCTATCATGATGTGTTTTATATTCTTAATCTTTCAATTATTTTGCAGAGAATGTTACATATGAAAATGGCTTTAGTGCAATTGACAATGGAAGCAGATTCTTTGCAATGAGACATGGGAAACGTGTCCCAAAACTTAACAGACCCCCAGACCAGCGTCGTGCTTTGATTCGTGGCCTCACAACTCAGTTGTTGAAGCATGGTAGGATTAAAACTACTAGAGCACGGGCAAGTGCTATAAGGAAATATGTGGATAAAATGATTACTTTGGCGAAGGATGGATCTCTTCATAAGAGAAGACAAGCACTTGGTTTCATCTATGAGAAGCAGATAGTGCATGCTCTTTTTGCAGAGGTACAAGATAGATATGGTGAGAGAAATGGAGGGTACACTAGAATTATCAGGACCTTACCAAGGAGAGGCGACAATGCACCAATGGCATATATAGAGCTTGTCTAGGTAAAAAAGGCTACTTGAAATTGTTGAAAGCCTTTGATCATTTGAAGGTTTATTTTGTAACCTTTAAGCATATTTTCACCGAGACTGAAAGTTCTTACAAATTATTCTATGTTTTTGATGATCTGTTACTTGTGCTCATAGAATTGGAAGGAGTATGCATTTTCTCTCTTTTATTTATTTGCAATCAATAACTTTGTTGTTCCCCTATTATCTGTTTTATCCATGCTAGTTAAGTGCATTTGGCACTATTATGTTTGGTTAGTTGGCATCAGTGTAGTGTAATTTGTTAACTGATGCAGTTAAGTGAGACATGGTCCACTATGAAAAATATAAAGTCATTTCAAGATAGGTTTTGAAAGTGAATAACAAGACCATTGATTCATATCTATATAAAATTTCTATTTGCTTGCAACTCCTGTTTATTTTACTGATTTCCTTCTCATGCCAAATAACGAGCATTGTTTTACTTACAATGGTGCGTATTTGTTTAACTTCTCATGCCAAATAACAAGCATTGTTTACTGATTTCTTTCTCTTGCCAAATAACATGATCCAGTTTGCCATGAGAAAGAATGAAAAAATACACGCTCGCTCTCCATAGTAGTCTCTCCAGTTTTAATTACTGGAAACTTAAATGATAAAAAATTGGTAACAGTTGCCACCTACTATTATAAACTGAATGGTAATACAACTCTTATTCATTGGATTTTCCGGAAATGTTCCTATTCAATTATTTTTTTTTCTTTAATAAATTTTTCATACTGAGCTTTCTTAGAATTCATTACTGGTAAGCTCTTTAAGAGCTGCCAAAAGTTTGATCTTCTAACTAAAACCTATTACAGAAAAAAAAATGCAGGATATTTCTTTTGGACTGATATGAGTGTACTACCAGCTAAGTTTTAAACCCAAAAGTCTGGGTCTGTATTTATTTTATTGCATTGCACCATCGAGTGGGACTGCATTGGATTAATGTTTATTAAACTTGCATTGGATTCGACCTCGAACATTATCCAACTCCCTGTTAAGTCCTAAGAAAAACTTGAACAGCCTTTTTTATTCCACAATCTGCTTGTACATTACTGCATATTTTGGATTTTTTCATGAATGAGTTTCAAATAAGTCAAGTTGTTGTTAATACCATGTGAATGTGTTATAATACTGAGTAATAGACTATTCTCCTTGGTGGAAGTCATGAAATATTGATTCAACCTGAAATAATTCTGAAGTATTTTTAGAGCTGGAGTAAGCCTCTTTGGTTGCATCTCATATTTCTTTTGCAGTCCCAAACATCAAGAAATTTTCACCTATGTCATTGTTCATGAAATTGATAAACCATGACGTGATTATACTATTTTCAATCTTCCACTTTCTGAAACTCGGATTTATAGTCTCTGGCATGGTTTTTGCTCCAGTGAGATACTCATCATTTCCCTTGCCACAAATGAACAACACTTATTGTGACTACTGCAAATAACGACCATTTAATTTGTTTCATGTGATGATACTAGGAGAATAATCATGGACATCAAGGTTTGGAATTTCTAAACTACTTCCTAATTCTGGTGCCTTATTGCTTAATGTTTGTGATGAAGCCATTTTGTATTGCAAAGGAGAAGATAAGAGATGATAATGCACGAGGTTGCAGGAAATATAAAGGTCGGGACGAATTTGCCAGAGAGAGGCGGCTTGAAGGGACTAACTAGCTTAATTCTCTTCTAAATTTTAGGAAACAAAATCATAGAAGAAGATCACAATTAATCTCTCCTTTTATTCCTAAAATAAATTTTTTAACTTTGACTTTCAAATATTCAACACATATGTTAAATACTTCATGACTTCCAGCGCTCAATTTCCTCAGCACTATTAGTTTCTCTTAGCAAGATGTCTGTGACCTCTCAATACCTCAACCTTCTAATGCCCTTCATAATATCATGACCTTATCTTTCGATCATCTTAACTCTACAATCTACCAATATTCTCCAATCGTGATTGCATCAGTGACATTTGTCCTTATTATGTTGACCTCTTTTTTAATCTCTTTATTAATATTGTTTGTCGACACTCTCCATTGATATCTCTATTAACACTCTCTATCAATTATTTTTGTTTACCTTCTTCATTGATATCACTTCATCGACACTCACTATCAATATTCTTTTGTCAACATTTTCTATCAATTCTTTTCATCGACGCTATCTTAAAAACTCAGCTGATGCTTCGTTCTCATTTGATAGTTTTGTTTAAGGATATTATTCGTGCTTTCTTTGACATGGATCTCGTTGTTGACTCTATGCATCCGATTCACATTACTCTCTTTTTCAGAGACGATTGCGCTTCTCGTGCATCTCTCACAACCTGTTGGCAGCACATCCTTCGAATACTTCATCTCTAGTTACTAGTATTTTCAAACTCAAGTGGAAGTCTTCTATACCACATTGAGTTTGTGGGGGAATGCTATTGCATCTAAACTATCATTGCTAATCATTTATAGTATCAATATACGCTATAATTATTGTAATATTACATCATTATTAAGAATATTCTCATTTATTGTGTTCTTCTTTATTTTTCTCTTCTCTTGCCTATCTATTGACACAAATGCTTGTACCAAGAAGGCAATTCAGTAAAAAATGTAGACTTTTCCAACTCTCTTCCTTCAAACACCTTTTTTACATGAACAATATATGTTCATGTTAGACCGGTCCAGGCGGGATCGGTTCACGGGCCAGAATCGCGAAAACAGGCGGAGAAAGCTTCCGCCTGGGCGGAAGCCGCGCGTGACGCACGCTTTGCGGGACGATTTTTGGAAGGTTTTTGAATGGATTTTAGGAGGGAAATTGATTGTAGTGATTGTTTAGGAAATTCCTTTTGAATTGTATGCATTAAATAGTAGATTTTCCTAGGTTTTGAGCATCTTGAATTTGGTTGAAATTTGAGATCTCGTAGATTTAGGGTTTCTTTGGGCTCTAGCGGCGTCTAGAGATTTGGGAGAGATCGATCCTCCTCTCGAATTGAGGATCAATTGTATCTTGCTCTTTTTATTCATCGTCTAAGTGGAATACAAGTCTTTTCTTGAGTTTTCTCTCGTATTTTCCCGAACAAGTGCTGTTTTCCTGCTGTAAACAGCAGAAATCTGCTGTTTTCCTGCTGTGGACAGCCATTTGGCTGCTGTTGGTTCGCCGATTTTGTTTAGGTTGCTTGTGAATACAAGCACTTCCTATCAGTTCACTCATTGAGACAATCTGTAAAACATTCTAGTAAGTACTTCGACAGGATTAACTTTAGTCTGGCTTTAGAAAAAATCAAACCCCGATAGATTTGATATTTTTTTTGTTGACTTTCTACTGTTGAAATCCTGTGCTTTTTCTCTCGCCTTTTTTTTTTTCAACAATGCACTAGCTCCATGTTAATGCCTCACTCCTAAAGTTGGGCGTGTCGAACGGAGGCAATTTCTTACGGTGTTTGAAATTGCAGCATCTAATATTTATGCTGACATAATTTATGTCATATGAGGAGTGCATTTATCAACTTCTTAATGTTATATACATTATTTGTAGGGATTTCATGAAATCTTTCTGACCTTTCTTAATTTTTTCAATAACTTTACTTCTACACAAAATACTTGACAGAATGAAACTTAAGATTCGCTAAATTTATATAATATGAGTGCTACTATTATCTTCCAAATTTTATCTGCATTATTTGTGGGTACCTCATGAAATCATTATGGCCTACCAAGATTTTTTCAACAACTTATTCACGAAATCCTTGACAGAATGAAAAAAGATTCTCAACCTTGTGCAGATCAACAAACAAAACCACCTCATCACATCCACTTCGTTGTTGCAGCATTACCATGATATCAATTAAGTTTTGTATCAAAAAACTAAAGCCATTGTCATGAAAATGACCCATTGTCAACTTAGCAGCAAATAAAAACTAAATAATGTTATACCATGGAAACTAGCTCAATGATATCAATACTTTATGGATAGCTTCATGCCTTTCTTAGATTGTTTATTATTATTGCTTTATTTTATTTAGTTCTTATTTATTGCTAAGTTGGCAATGGGTCATTGTCATGTTTCATAACAATGGTTTTAGTTTTCTAAAACAAAACTTGATTGACGGCATAATAATGCTGGAACAATGGATTGGATTCTAAGAGGTGATTTTGTTTGTTGATCTGCATGGGAGTCCTATTGTCTAAATCATATTGGAAGTATAGATGGAAAGTTGATCATATTCGAAGAACGGATGCAATTTCTTTAAGTGGTTGAAGTTGCAACATCCAATATATTGACTCTTAACAGGACACAATGGAGAAAGAACATTCATTTAGCCGACCACACATAGTGGGATAAAGGCTTGATGTTGTTATTGTTGTTGTATATATAAAAATTATCACAATTCAGCTTTCTTTTTATTCATAAAAATATTTTCTTAAAATTAAAACAAAATTATAGGAGAAGATCACAATTGATCTCTCCTTTTATTCTTAAAAATACTTTCCTAAAATAAATTCTCTAAGTTTGACTTTTAAATATTCACCACTTCTCAAGCTGGAGAATATATATCTTATAATCCAAGCTTGCAAATTAAGTCTTCAAAGTTAGGTTTAGGTAGAGCTTTGGTGTGGATGTTTGCAATTTTTTACTTGGTAGGAATGTATTTCAATTTAACATTCTCACTATTCACATTCTCTGTGATGTAGTGTCTATCAATTTCAACATGCTTAGTCCTATCATGATACATGTGATTCTTAGTTATGTTGATAACTTCCTGATTATCACACATCATCAGAATAGGAGATGAATTTATTTGTCATAATTCACTAAGAAATCTTATTATCCAAATCCCTTAACAAATTCTCTGTGCCAAAGCTCTATACTCTGCTTCTGCATTGCTTTTGGCTGTCATTGATTGCTTCTTACTCCTCCAATTAATAAGATTACCGTAGACAAAAGAACAATACCCAGAAGTTGATCATCTGTGAATGATGTTTCTTGCCCAATCTTCATTTGAATACATTTTCATGTCGCGATTCTCTTTATGAAGAATAGGCCTTTCCCTAATATCATTTCAGGTATCTAAGAATACTATAGATTGTTTCTATGTGTTTCTCTGTAGGATTGTGCATGAATTGACTTACAATACTTCACTGCAAAACCAATATATGGCCGAGTGTTTGAAATATAGATCAGACGTCCAACAAGTCTATGATATTTCCCACTATATATAGATGTGCTTTCTTTCTTGGTGTCAAGTTTCTTCTGACAGTCCATAGGAGTATCAATAAGTTTGCATCCAAGCATACTACTCTCCGTAGGAAGATCTAGAATATATTTCGTTTGAAAAATAATAATGCCCTTTCTTGATCTAACCACATCCATTCCAAGGAAATATTTAAGATTTCTAAGATCTTTAACTTCATACTCTTTTGAAAAATACTTCAAATTTTGTAATTCCTCCCTACCATTCCCATATATAATAATATCATCGACATAGACTATCAATATAGCAATTTTTCCATCATGAGATTTCTTTACAAACAGATTATATGATCAGTGTGGCCCTATATATAGCCTAGCTTTAAAACAACCTTTGTGAATTTGTCAAACCAAGCTTGGGGAGATTATTTTAGGCCGTACAAGAACTTCTGGAGTTTGCAAACTTAATTCTTTGCCATACCTTTTTCAAAGCCAGGTGGGATTTCCATGTAGACTTCTTCAAGGTCACCATTTAGAAAGGCATTTTTAATGTCCAATTATTGCAAGAACCAATCTTCGTTGACATCTAATGAGAGAAGAATTCTAATTGTGTTAAGCTTTATGACAAGAGAAAAAGTTTCTTGATAGTCTATGCCAGAGAGAAGAATTCTAATTGTGTTAAGCTTTATGACAAGAGAAAAAGTTTCTTGATAGTCTATGCCATAGGATTGTATAAATCCTCTAGCTATCAACCAAGCCTTGAATCTCTCAACTGTTCCATCTGATTTGTACTTTATAGTGAAAATCCACTTGCACCCCACGGGACTTTTTCCAGCTGGCAAATTAATAATAGCCGATGTCCTATTCTTCTCAAGTGCATCAATCTCATCTTGTATTGTCTTCTTCCACTCTAAATTTTGTAATGCCTCTTGTATTGTGCTAGGAACCTAGATATCATCAAGAGAAGTAGCAAATGCTTTGTAAGATGGTGATAGCCTTTCACAAGTAACATAATTCCCAATTGGATGACTTGTACATCTCCTAACACCCTTCATCAATGCAATTGACATGGTAGAGTCATCAATGTTGGGCATTGGAACATCTCCAACCTTATTCGTACCTATATTTTCTTTAGGTGGATTTGAAATTGAGTCAATATCTTGGTCACATGCTGGCTATGGTTCATGCTCTAGCTTTATCTTTTCCTCCTGATGTAGACTTAAAAAATCTCATTAGCAAGTTGCAGAGCCACAGATTGAACAGACACGAGAGTAGTAACATTTGTGGGCTGTGCTAATGACTAAACATGCATGGGTGTGATAAAAATTTTTCAGAAGAAGTTGACATGGAGATTGTAAATTAAGGACTCTAGATGGCATACAATTGATCAAATAGGTAGTTATGAGAATGACTTCCCCTAGAAATAATTTGGAAATCAGAGGAAAATATAAGACACTGGACAATCTCCAAAAGATGTCTATTTTTGCGCTCAACTACTCCATTTTGTTGAGGGGTGTCAACACAAGAACTTATGTGGATAATTCCATGATTTTGAAGGTAGTTATTAAAACTGCTAGTGAAGTATTCCATAGAATTGTTTGACTTGAGCACCTGAATTTTAGAGTTGAATTGATTTTGAACAATAAGATTGAAGGTTTGAAAATTTTGTTCAACCCTTAGTCTTTTCTTTCATAAGGAAAATCTAAGTTATCTTGTTTAATCATCAACAAATGTCACAAACCATCGAGGCACAAAATATTTTTTACCATTGAGGGACCTCACAGATCACTATGGATTAAAAAAAAATGCATTTGAAGGTTTGTATGGAATTTGAGGATATACAATTCAAGTATGCTTCAAACTGACAAGTTTTTCAATGAAAAGATGCAAGACTTTTATTGATAAATAATTTGGAAAATAATTTTGCAAGATACACAAAGCTATGATGATCAAGACGGTAATGTAATAATATAATTTCACTATCTTTATTGATATTGGAATTAGACATAGAATTGAAAGATTCTAATGGACTCTGAGATTGGACACAACTTGCTCAAGAAATTTGGTTTGAGGATTGGACACAATTCAGCACTGCCAATCATCTTCCCCGATTTTAAGTCTTGAAAAACGTACAAATTTGGATAAAATTTATTAACACATTGAAGGTCATGAGCCAATTTGCTAATGGATAAAAGACTACAATCCAAGTTTGGAATATGGAGGATAGAGTTGAGATACAACTTTTTAGTAAGTTGAATGAAACATGTTCCAACAATTTTAAAATTTAAACCATCAGCAATACGAATGACAAGTGACCACTACTTGGTGTGTAATTTACTGTAATATTACATCATTATTGAGGATGTTCTCATTTATTGTATTCTTCTTTATTGTTTTCTTCTCTTGCCTATCTATTGACAAATATGCTTGTACCAAGAAGGCAATTCAGTAAAAAATGTAGACTTTTCCAACTCTCTCCCTTCAAACGCCTTTTTTACATGAACAATATATGTTCACTCTTTTAGACAATCTGTAAAACATGCTAGTAAGTACTGTGACAGGATTAACTTTAGTCTGGCTTTAGAAAAAATCAAACCCAGATGGATTTGAAATTTTTTTGGTTGACTTTCTACTGTTGAAATCCTTTGCTTTTTTCTCTCACCTTTTCTTTTTCGACAATGCACTAGCTTCATGTTAATGCCTCACAGCTAATGCATTCGAAGTAACATGTAGCGAAGGTTTCACAATATAATATTGCTAGTCACTTTCCAAAATTTAGCCTTTCACTGTTATTACGTTCTGATCTTAGTCTTGTAAAATGTACACAGTGAAGGTGAAAAAATTACTATGACTATTATTTTTTGTGAAAGAAAATTTAAATATCATGTCTCTCCTAGCTTCTTCACCAGTAGTATAAATATAAAGTTGGGCATATCGGAAGAATTGAGGCAATTTCTTACAGTGGTTGAAATTGCGGTATCTAATATTTATGCTGACATAATTTATGTCATATGAGGAGTGCATTTATCAACTTCCTAATGATATATACATTATTTGTAGGGATTTCATGAAATCTTTCTGACCTATCTTAATTTTTTCAATAACTTTACTTCTACACAAAATACTTGACAGAATAAAACTTAAGATTTGCTAAATTTATATAATATGAGTGCGCCTATTAGCTTCCAAATTTTCTCTGCATTATTTGTAGGTACTAATGAAATCTTTATGGCCTACCAAGATTTTTTTCAATAACTTATACACAAAATCCTTGACAGAATGAAAAACGATTCTCAACCTTGTGCAGATCAACAAACAAAACCGCCACCTCACATCCACTTCATTGTTGCAGCATTACTATGCTATCAATGAAGTTTTGTTTCAAAAAACTAAATAATGTTGTACCATGGAAACTAGCTCAATTATATCAATGCTTAATGGATAGCTTCATGCCTTTCTTAGGTTGCTTATTATTATTGCTTTATTTTATTTAGTTCTTATTTGTTGCTAAGTTGACAATGGGTCATTGTCATATTTCATAACAATGGGTTTAGTTTTCTGAAACAAAACTTGATTGATGGCATAATAATGCTCGAACAATGGATTGGACTCTAGGAGGTGGTTTTGTTTGTTGATCTGCATGGGACTCCTATTGTCTAAATCATATTGGAAGTATAGATGGAAAGTTGGTCATATTCGGAGAACGGACGCAATTTTTTTAAGTGGTTCAAATTGCAACATCCAATATATGTATTGACTTAATTTATGTAATATGAGTAGTGCACGTGTTAGCTTCCTAATTTTAACTGCATTATTTTTGTACATTCATTATCTGGTTACCAAGATCTTATCCATCGCTGATTCTATTTTGCCACCAATATTTAGTGTCTTTCTAAAGGTTTTTGCAGCAATATTTTCGTTGACCCAACAACAAAATAAAAAAGCCTATCGTGAGATCATCTACCAAGAAGTGCCAGGTATCAATACATCCTATGTATTATATCAATCTTTCAAGCTAAATTACAGAAAGTGGATATAGCACTTGTGGGGCATGAGAGAGGTGGATGTAGCACTTGCACATCCCAAGTCAAATGAAGCCTCCACTAAGTATTTTAAAAACCTCAAAAAGGGAGTCTTAATGTTCCAATTCCACATTAGATATACTTTTAAAATAGAGATGAATGTATTAAATGAATTCATTCGCAGGAAACTAGTAAACCTGGCAACTTATGAGTTGACTGATGGTTGTTTTCGTTGGTGGTAGGCCAGGGAGTTGAATCACAATGCCCATTTATTGACAATGCGGCTATTTGGACATAAGGTGTAAGCTTTTTTAATCAGGTGACCGTGCTTATCTAACACTTTTTGGTGGCTTACAAAGGTTGGTCATGTTTAGTAACTCTTTGTTTATGAAGTCAGCAAATTAATTGCTCTTAGTCAGTTCCCTCTTTTTGTAGATTTAATTGGTAGAACACATGATATTCTATCGAATACAAGTCAGCTAAATAAAGTTGCTGCGTTCAGTGGAATATGAGACTACTGGAATGAGCTTTCAGAGCACAAACATCATAGTAAATTTCTTGAGTCCTTCATTCTGGTACTAATGTACTATTATCCATTATTCTGTCCCTTTTCCCGCATGATGCTTTTGATGTTATTGAAGTGGCTGCCATTTATTGGGTTAGCTTTAACGCCACCTGCAACTTATGCTTTCATTCTGTGTTAGTGTAGAAGTTAGTGTGGCATATGCCACTTGCAGAAAGCCTTTCCATTTCAATACCTATTGAAATTCCTCTAAAAATATATCTCTCAAGACCTCTTTAATCTTATATTTTTTAGCGTTGATTTGGTTGGTTTTGATCTCTTAGCAAAGCATGTAAAAGTAGTGTTAAAGGAGAGTCAGACGCTCTCTCATGTGGTTGGGTGAGATCATGGCTCATCGAACCTCTTAGAAGGGTATCGTGATTAAGGTGTGCTTGAGAGAATAATTTATCATAAGACATCTAACAATTAGATAAATTCCTAGTGTTAATTCAAGGGATGGGTTCTAATACTTTAAATTATAAAAATGTGTTAATTTTCTTATCATGTTAACATGATATGGGGTGTGCGAAAAGTGCATCAAGAATTAGAAGCAAATTTGTCCCTTACAAACAGTTTGATCAAATATTGGTGTAAGAACTTCAAGTTCTAAAATAATAAATCTTTAATGGGAAGATGATGTGTCCAAAAAATAGGGTGAAGGGAATGAGGGCTATAAATCCTATAGTAAAAAAGAGTGTATGGATGATGATGAAGATGCAATAGATTGTGGTAAAGTTAGATTATTCTTAATTTATAAATGCTACAAGTTCATGTAATTGACTAAACTAATTTAATTTACTAAACTCGATAAATTTTGGATTCCTTATTTTTCATTCATCTTGTTAATGTTCCATGAGTTATTAAACTTATTATTTATAAATCATTTGAAGAATTTCTAAGCAAGTTTTTTTAGATCTACCTACTTTTCTTTCTAATCCTATTACGCTAATTCTTTTATGTCATTAATTGGCTTTATTTTCTATCATTTGTTGTATTTAAGTAACCCAAGCTTATTTTCAGCTATCCTATATTTGATAAATTTTATTTTAATCATCCTTCTATAATATAACAATATATAATAATAAGCCTTTTATCCCACTGTGTGGGGGATTTTTTCTCTATTGTGTCCTATTAAGAATCAAATTCTCATTTAAATCTAATAAAAAGATCATTTTAATATTTTATAACCAAGTCTTTTAGGCCTATCTCTACCTTTCTTAACATATGATGGATTTAATGCATCCACTCTCATAATTCGGTCATCGGAAGGATGACATTTTATGTGAGAAAAACATCTAAGGTGACTCTAATCTTATTTTGTTATTGGAGCTACTACAATATTTTCACGTATATACTCATTTTGCATTGTCTCAAAATGTAAAGTTACTAATCCATCCGAGCATTCACATCTCAGCAATTCTTAACTTTATTTTTTTCCTTAATGGCCAAGATTCTACGTTATAAAGCATTGCATGTCTCCCCACTATCTCATAAAATTTTACCTTAAGGTTGAGAAGTACTTTTCTATCACACAATAGCCCTGATGCATTTCTCCACTTCACCATTGCATTGAACAATATGTCTGAAATATCTAAAACATGCACTCTTTTTAATAACTTGATCACCCAGTGTCACATTCTCACCACTAGATCTATTACTATTAAAATTATACTCCATGTATTTAATTTTAGATCTACTCAAATGAAAATCATTACTTAAGGTTTATCTTCAAATTCAAGCTTTTCATATGCTCTCTCTAGTGATATCAACAAGAAGAATTTCATCAGCAAAAAGGGTGCACCAAGGTACATCCTCTTACAAAAGTCTAGTAACAAAGTTCATGACTAAAGCAAAATGATACGAGCTTAAAGCTGATTTTTGATGTAATCCAATTAAAATAGTAAAATACTTGGTCAAATAATCTAAACCAAGGTTGTGAAAACCGGACCGGACAACGAACCGGAAGAGGGAGAGGTTTACGGTTCGACCGGTCGAACCGGGGTCGAACCGGATGACGTAATAAATAATAATATTATAAAAAATAAAAAATAAATAAAAATCATATAATATAAGTATATGAGCATTTAATAATATTTATAAAATTTTATACATATAAATATAATTTAAGAATAATATATTTATAAGAATAATACTTAATATAATATATAAATTTATAATACCGATGCAGAGCCGGTTTTGAAGCCTGATCGGACCGGCCACCAGACTGGTTCACGGTTGAACCGGCCGGTCCGGTCCGGTTTTCAAAACAGTGATCTAAACACAAGTAACAGCTCATGTATATATATCTTTAATTACTTGAATGTAATCATGATTGACTCTTTCTTTTCTAGAGCTCTCCAAAACACTCTCTTGAAACTTTATCATGTCTTCTCTAAATCAATAAATATTATATATAGATCATCCTTACTCTCTCTATATATTTCCATCAAATCTCTCAATAAATTTATAGTTTTTATAGTAGACTTTCGTAGCATGAATCCAAATTAATTTTGAGAAATATTAGTATCAGGTCATAATTGATGCTCAATTACTCTCTCCCTTAATTTTAATGTACGGGTGTAATTGGATTTGAGTATAATTGATGCTCAATTACTCTCTCCCTTAATTTTAATGTATGGGTGTAATTGGTTATGAGTTTTTTAAATTGTTAAGTTTCAAGTATTACATATATATATAATTGCTACAAAAAATTTCCTCATAAATGAATTTAGTTATAAGTTGACCTTTTTTTTTTGACACCCCACATATAATAGAATGCTTGTGCAGCTTTTGATAACACTGCATGTTGAAAGCTCGCCCATTAAATGCATCGGTAAGTGGAGTGGACTTAAATGACCTCTGGCAAACCATAGAAATTAAGAAAACTCTAAATAGTTACTATTGAGCACTTAAAAGTCATCTTCAATCGAGAACTAATTAGCTATTAATCTAGTTAGTGTTACTGTAGGTAAGGGTGTAAAGTAGAAGAAATTAATTTGTGCGGTGTCTGGACGGGAACAACCATCCGTATATATAAGTGTACACATACTGTACACAATATGTGTACACATATGTGACATATACTGTGTACATTATGTACATCACAATCCGGACTGTTGTTTCCATCTGGACTTTGCACAGAATAATTTCTTGTAAAGTAGGGGTGTTAAAATCCCTTTGTGGGTCGGGTTCAGGTCGAACCCAATTCTGACCTGAACCACTATTGCATGAAAGTATTGTTTTACACAACTCGAACCCGAATCGTTTTAGCAATGGGTCAGAAATTTCAACTCGACCCGGCATGAAACCACGAGAGAAAATGGTTTCCTTCGTAATGAGTGAGCTCCCTCCTGTCATCGTCGTTACTTTCGATCCAACAAAATAATGACGTGTTTTTGGGGAACATTGTCGAAGGAGGCGAAGAAGTATTTTATAAACTGATTAGACGGAGAAGCATGCAAATGGGAGAAAATGGTTACCTTCGCAACGAGCGACCCCTCCTGTCATTGTCGTTACTTTCGATCCAATAAAAGAATGGTGAGTTGTCGTGACCTCTGACCGGACAAAAGGAACCGCGTTGAAGGAGGCGAGCTATCATGACTTCTGACCCAATAGAAGGAACGGCGAGCTGTCATAACTTCTGACCTCGAGGCGAGGGTTTGCGGTGCAGGATGTGAACCGGGTTGGTTCCAAGTTGAAGTCGGGTTTTTGGGTTGACACGAACCCAAATTGAAATTCGCAATCGAGTCAGGATTTTAAAACCGTCCCATTTCCCAAACGGGTTGACCTTAACCCAGAATTTTTACATTGGGTTTGACTTGAGTTTTGGGTCATGTCAAATATTGACACCCCTAGTGTAAAGGGATACAAATGAATCGAGCCGAGCCGAATAGGTGTATGTTCATATTTGAGATTGTTTATTATTAACTTGTTGAAGTTTTGTTCAAACTTTTTTGTTCATGTCCAAGCTTTGTTCGTTTAAAAGAATAGATGTTCATGTTCAGATTGCAATTGGTTCATGTTCGTTTATACTTATCGAGCTTTAAACAAATGAGCCTACTAACAAACAATCACCTATAGTCAGTTCGCAAACATATATAGGAAGTAATTTCGATCTATCAAATGAGCTCATTCACAAACAAACAAGCTCATAAATTATTCTTCTTATAAACAAGCTTGTTATATAGCTCACATTGATCTGTTGGTTGGGAGCATAGGCTACCAACTAAGAGGTCTTGGCTTTGAGTCTTGTGTATGCGATGTGTATACGCATCTGCCTTAATTGGCTTAAATGTCTCAAAAAAAAACAAGCTTGTTCATGAACACTTTAAATAAATAATATTATAAACATGAATATATACCTCTTGTTTATAAATTAATTCATTATAAATAATTTAACATGAAAAATGTAATTAATTTTTTGTATAATAAGAATAAATTATTATAAAAAAATTAAAAATTATGTGAAAATATACAAAATAATTATTTAATCAAGCTTTTTAACGAGTTTATTCACAAGCTTAATTTATATTGTTCAAGAATATAAATGAGTCGAATACATAGTTGTTCATGTTTGTTTGTTTAATAGTCAGGTATTTAAAAAATTGTTCAAACTTGTTTACTTAAGCAAATGATCATGAACTAGTTGTAATTGATTTGAACCACAAGTAGTTTGTCGAGAGCTCGTTTCATTTGCATCCCTAGGTGTAAAAGAGTAGAGACGAGCTCGAGTCATCCTAGATTTGAGCTTGAGCTTTATTCAACAAGTTTGAGCTAGCTCGTGAGTCATCTCGTTCATTTTGAAAATGAGAAAATGTTTGATTCAAACAATTATTATAATAAAATGGTAAAAAGAATGAGAAATCAGAAGAAAATAATGAAGAATCATTTAATATAAGAAAGTGAGATATAATTTATAAATATTTTTAATAATTTTTACATAAAATCCTGAATACTAATATATTCATATTTTTCAAAAGAGCAAGCTCGTGAGCTAACAAGTCAAGTTAGGATTGGCGAAAGCATAGCTCGTTAGCTCATTGAGTTCGGCTTGACTCACTTAACCCCTAATTGTAGGATCTGAATTGCATTAATTTATGAAATACTTAATGCAGGATTTTCCATGTAATTAAGCCTGCTGAATGAGCCCCACCCAAATTATTTTGCAACAATGTACCCCATGAAACACTCCATGTGATCAGCTTCTATCAACCTCCTTG